TGGCGGTGCAGCTGGCTCCCGAGGCCCCAACTGCCTCTCCCCTCGTGTCTTCCCAGCTCCCCGCCCCAGCTGATGGTCAGCAAGGTCTTCTCCACCAGGGCCGGCAGCCTCTGCGGAAGCACCAACAAGTGAGTAGGCTTGCCCTGCCCTGTCTTCGGAAGGGCCCTCTGGGAGGAGTGGGGAGGTCTTCGGGGCGGTCCCCATCCTGTGACCTAAGGACAGGGACTGTTTTCATCTGGATTTCGCGGGTCTCCATCAGTTACTCCCTCTGTTCCCAGTTTTGTGTTTTTCTTTTAAAAGGTGTTTTTTCTTTTTTGCCTTAGGGCACATGTGCTCTCGAGAGACAGAGACAGTGAGAGGGAAAGTGAGAAATCACCCCCAGGGGGATGGCCACACCACAATCCCTTTTCCTCTATTCTTCTCCTGGGATGTTGGGCACGCACCCATATGTGCCTGGCATGAGTTTCAAGACACTGGGTCTGGGACTCGAACTGTGGTCAGCTTGGGAGTCCAGCCCCTTAACACCATGCCGCCTGCTGCTCCCTGCCCCCTGCCCCCTGCCCCTGCCCCTGCCCCTACGGTGTCAGCTCCCCATCTCCACCCGAAGCACTCGCTCAGCGGACCGGCCGACTGGTACTTGAGTCGAGCGTTTTTATTTCCGTCTTTGACTTTTTCCACGCTGACCTCACACCTCTGTGGACTGGGAGCGCTGTGGTGTCTGACCTGAACTGTTGTCTTGGCACATTTTTGGTTCTTACGTTTTGAACTCATTAAGGAGAACTATTTCTTACGCTTCTTTAAAAAATAAAACAACAAGGTATTTGTTATACTTTGATGAAATGGAAACAAAGGTTTGCTAAGAACTGCGGGGTGGTTGTGGAGGTCACACGAAGGCTGTTTGCCTACCCTGGGGATGTCCACACCTCCCCTGCGTACTTGGGAACCGAGTGTCTTCACAGCTCGAGGTTTGCCGCTGGCCGTCCTCACTTAGGAAGGCAGGGCCTGGGGTTCCGAGGCCCTCGGGCTGCCTGAGAGCTCACTACCCAGCTCCCATAAATACTCAGCTCAGCTTTCATCGGAAGGAACTTGGCTTCGCTATGCTATATTCTCCTCAGTGTCTTTGTATTTATTTTACTTTTTAATAAATACAATAAATTACTAGGATCCTTTCCCCCCACATCTTTATGAATCATTTTAACTTCAGAAATTGTAAAACCAAGCTCCTTAAGAACCGTAATTCCCATTACGTCTCCCTGCTGAGAACAGTCGCTGAGTCACACATCGATGCTAACGTCCTTGTGAGGGTCTGTTAAAACCCTCCTGCTCAGTCGCGCCATCTTGGGCATCAGTCGCTGAAGCAAAACCGAGGGTGTGTTGCTGAGTCTCGGGTGGCAGTCCCTGAGTCACTCCTCCCACAGAGGACACCGTGGGGAGTACGCTGTGGCTGCCTGGGGTGGCTGCCTCTCCCCAAAGCTCCCGTTTTGTTTTCCTCCAGCAAACGCCCTGCAGTTGCCGGCCCCCTCCTGGGGGACATGTGGCATGACTGCTCAGTGGCCCGCGTGGGCAGTGCACCCGGGAACTTGGGCTCCGTCAGCCTTTGGACAGCCTTTTCTTCTCTCCCCCTTTCTCCTTTGGATTTAGCTTGCAAGACAGCTTTGAGTCCATCAGCCAGGACCCTGGTTTGGGAAAGCTGAACACGAGTCACAGCAGTCTGGGTCCTTGTCGTGCCGGCAGCAACCTCGGTGAGATAGCCATGAGAGTGATGGTTCTGACCCCATCGTCGCGGCCCTGTGTCGCGCCAGTGGAGTTTGCCGCTGGTTTTGTCCGGGTTGGTTTTGCGTGACCTTTAACCTGTGTTTATTGTGTGCGTGTGCCACCTGCCCTCTGTCGTCCCCAGGTCTGCCGCAGGCTGGCAGCAGCAGGCCACCAGGGGTGGCGGAAGCAGGACCCCTCCGGCTCACCCGGAGCGCGTCTTTCTTGGCAGGTTTGTGTGGAAGGCCGAGTGCAGTGTGGCCCACACACTAAGCCCCTCTAGGTTCCTAGGCGAAGCCCTGCATCCACCTCTCTGGAATTCCCAGGGGCTCACGGGACAAGAGAGGTTCATATCAAATACAGCCAAATTCATGGGGTTTTGAAACCACCACCCACGAACCTTTGTCGTAAAGAGCTCTGCTCACACCCCGGCAGAGCCGCCTTTGCCTGGAGTGAGCCCCTAGGATTTCTAAGGGGATGCTTCTCTGGTTTCCCTGGGCCTCTGCCCTGCGAGCGGCCCCTCGGCTATGGTGTCTTGCATCCATTTCCTCACCTGCACCCTTTCCTACACCGGCTGTCTTTCGGATCACTCTGATAGCATGGAACACTCCTCTCTCTCACTCTCTCTCTCGCTCTCTAGCAGTTAGAAAGCAAGTCCCAGGTTCTTTGCAGGTGTCGTTGCATGGCCTCTCTGGGCGAATTCTGAGATTGAAGTGCTGCATCTATTGAACGCCTTTCGTGGTCTGAGCTTGATGAACAAGCGTGGGGCCCTCTGTGGGACACACAGGCTGCGAGTGTGGAAACGCCATCTTCCTTTTGCCTATTTTTGTGACCCAGCACACCCATGCACCCGGTGGCTGACTCTGGTGGAGTGGATGCCCTCCCGCTGTGTAGAACAAGAGCAGAGTGTCTGCTCTCTCTGCAACAGTGAGGGTCAGTGTGCCTCAAGGAACAGCTGCCAGGGGCCAGGATCAGACAAAGCTCCAGCTGCGCCCTCACCACGTCTCACCTTGGAGCCGTGGAAGCTTCCCTACAAACCCATAATACTATTGAGTGCTTTCCAGACTTATGGCAGGACAAGATTTTTTTTTATGGATATTTTTGCTCTAGGGTACATGTGCTTACTGGAGAGACAGAGGTAGAAAGACAGAAAGCAAGAAATCACCCCCCAGGGGAGATGGCCACACAGTCCCTTTTCTTTCATTCTCCTCTCAGGGTTTTGGGCATGTGCATGTGCCCAGCATGAGTTTTAAGCCACCGGATCTGGGACTTGAACCACATTTGACTATATGGGAGTCTAGCGATATAACGGTTACACTAACTGCTGGTCCCCAGGACATGAGTGTTTCTAAGCCAGTCCAAAATAATACTGTGATGGGCATATGGAAAGAAGTGGAGAAACGAGCATTTAGAAAGGAGTATGTCTGCCATCTGCCAAGAGTGTCGATTAGGAACATATAAACATTTTTTAGCTTATGAAATGGTTTTCAAGTGTGTCCCCCTCCCCTCCCCCCGTTGCCTACGGTTACTGCAGAAAGTGACTGCAACGCACTTGGGGCAGAGAGTCGCTCTGGTGCTGCTGATATTGAGGAGCAGCTAAAGATGCCTTCCTGTGCACATTCGTTGCCATCTGTTACACCTAGAGCTTAGCACTGTGTGTCTTGAAAGGTTCAACGTCACCTGAAAGAGTTAATGTGTTCCAGTAAGATAAAGGCAGACGGCTTCTCGGTTCGCCTTCTACCTCCGCCATCTTTCTGCACACTTGGTTTTGCTTTCCAGCCGTCCTGTTAGAAACTCCTGCCGGTCATCCCTGCTCTGCAATGTCCCACTTTCTGCATGTTTCCCCACCATCTTGGCTTTGAAGAGCACAGTGGTAACCTGGCTTCTGTCCCTTTGCCGCAGCTCACAGCACACCAGTCGACATGCCAAGCCGTGGCCACCATGAGGACAGGGACAGCGGCATCGCCCGATCAGGTATTTGCACCTCCTTTGATTGGTCTCACTGATAGTGCAACTGTGGCATGGGGAGGAACGGGAAGGCAGGCCCACTGTCGCCCCCTCCCTCTCCTAAGCTGGTCTCCTGATCTGCAGAGTGGAAGCATTGTTGCAGCACCTGAGTGACTGCCCAGGCTGGCATTTCCCAATAGCCGAGGTCGTGTGACCCTCATGTGGGTGGAGCAGGTTCCTTGCCAGGGCAGCTTCCTGCTCCAGCAGGCCTGGACTTGCCACCTATAGGGAGGCAGAGAGCCGGGAGCTGGCATGGGAGGGCCTACCTGCTGCCTGGTCACCCCCCTCCCTCCCAAGACACGCCCGTCTCAGCCACATCTCCAGCACCTGCCGTCCCGACCCCAGGCCCGGATGTGCCCAGCTCCGCATTGAGAGTGCTTGGTCTTGGCGCCCATGCCGGGTACTGCCCAGGTGGTGGGGGTCTGAGGCAAGTCCTATGGTTAGAGGACAGTGATGAGTCAGTGACTGGAACTCAAAGCCCCGGCAGCCTCTGCCTCTAGGAGGGTGAGGTCCCTGCTGGCCTCTTCCTCACATAGCAGGGGGCTAGGGCTTGGGGTGGCCTGACTCCTGCTTGGCTGAGGCTTGGTCCTATGAACCTCCCGTGCGGCCAGAGCCCATCGCTCTCTGTCCCCGAGGCACCATGTGAAACGGGACTCGTACTGAGTCCCTCTTGGGCCTGTCCACACAACACAAAGTAAAGCCGTGAGCCTGTTATCCGTGGTCGACATCGGGGTCTCTCGGTGTCATGAGCCCTCTGTGAGGCGGCCCTTGCACTCTGTCAGGAGTGCAACTCCCGGGCCCACGGCATCCCACACTGTTTAATGTGCTCAGGTTACTCCCTGGTCCCCGGGTCGCAGTGGGCAGACTCACACAGACATACGTGCATACCAGGGAGGCCCTGCCCTGGTGCTGGGACCCCACAGCAGTCCCGGGGGGGCATGACCCGAGGGGCATGTGCTGAGCGCAGGGCTCGACGGTGCTGGGACCCCACCGCAGTCCCGGGGGGCATGTCCCGAAGCGCGGGGCTCAAAGGTGCTGGGACCCCACAGCAGTCCCAGGGGGGCATGTCCCGAGCGCAGGGCTCGAAGGTGCTGGGACCCCCACCGCAGTCCCAGGGGGCATGTCCCGAGCGCAGGGCTTGAAGGTGCTGGGACCACACAGCAGTCCCGGGAGACATGTGAGTGCAGGGCGCCCACAGCCAGCTCTGCTCTAGTAGGGGGGCTTTGGCCTTTTGGTGCGAGCACTGGGACACACAGGACAGGAGCCACCACGTCCTGGGGCCACTTTGAGCTCTAGTCCCCAGAATTCCTGCTCCTGGAGGCTCGGAGGGACCTACCAGGAGGCATCCTGGCGCGTCCAGGTGACTGCCAGCCTGGTCGCAAGTGGCCATGCTCGGTGGTCGGAGTCCCACTTGTCTGGGTGTGCAGATTCCAGATTGCTCTAAGACTACTGTCCCTGTACTCCGAGCCGCAGGACAGTTGAGGGGCCGAGTTTGCAGACGAATGGCCAGCCTACGGGACTGTTTCCATACCCATGAGAGGGACTTGGGCTGGTGGATCGGGGTGGGGCGTATCAGTGTGAGTGTGGTGAGGCTGGCCTTCTGCACCAGCTGCTCTGTGTGACGTGTGGTGTCCTGGTTGTGCTGGGAGGCAGGGCAGAGGTGACAGCGGGCCGCAAGTGGCCTGCATGTCAACGACTTACCCTGGCTGTGCCCTCCTCCTCTCAGAGAGGTTGGTCCATCAGAAGAGCAGAAGAGAGAAGGGGAGCCTGGGGGGCCTGGGCAGTCTTGTGGACCCCACAGGGGCCTAGGGGACTTGGGGCGGGGCAGAGAGGGCTCGCTGGGCTGTCACTCATTTTGTATGACTCCAAGGGACAGGTCTGTCTCTTTCAGAATTCCCAGGAAACCCCTGCTCACGCTCCAGGAAACTGGATTTGGTTTTGGGGATTTAAGTCAGTGCAAGGCTGGAACCCGGTGGGAACTGAGGTGGCCAGCCGGCCGGCCTCTGGTAACAGCGGAGTATAGAGGGCCACCCCAATGGCCTCCCAAGTTCCAGGCCTGGTCCTAGATGCAAAATGATGGCGTGGCTGCCGCACTTCTGTGAGCGGGAGATTCGAAGCAGGGCGCGCGTCTGCTCCTGTGCGAAAGCACACAGGAGGAAGGAGCTCGGCCACCCTCAGGCAGTCTGCGTGCCCAGTGCGTTTGGGTGCTGGCATTCAGTGGCGGTGGGGACGGGCCTGACGCCAACCACGCCTTCTCCCCGCAGCCTCGCTCAGCAGCCTGCTGATCACGCCGCTGCCGTCGCCCAGCTCCTCCGCGTCGTCCTCCAGCAGCTACCAGCGCCGCTGGCTGCGCAGTCAGACCACCAGCTTGGAGAATGGCGTCGTCCCCCGGCGGTGAGCACTGCAGAGCGGGCAGTCGCTGTGCTGGGCTGGGACCCCGGGCCGCCCATCGGCTTTAGCGGCCGGGGGGTGCGGTGGCCCACCTGTGGCCGTTGCTGCTGCTGCTATCACACCATCAGTCTGAGTTCACTCATGATCGTAGCATGCTCACACACGTGCCTGCATGTTTATCAAGCCGCTGGGTCCAGGACTCAAACTGTGCAGCCAGCCTTGTGGGGTCCAGCTACCTAAACCACCACGCCACCTGCTGACCCAGCTAAGTGCCTTGCTGCCTGGTATCCTGGCCTGCCCCAGCATGCGGGTGACTGTGCTGCGGCCACGTGCCCTTGGGTCGATGCCGTCTGCGTTGGTCCACACCTGCAGACTGCCACCTGGGTCGTCGTGTCCCGCCTGCCTCACTGTCTCCCATTAGACTTCTCTGACCACACGAACCAGTGGTGGAGTAGAACCACAAATTCAGGGTGGCAGCTACAGACATTAACGTGAGCTTGGCCCTCTGAGAGCAGGTCCTGGTGGTGGAGTCGCAAGCCAGGCCACCACTCTGAGCCAGCAGACATCCAGTTCTTGCACCCGTGGGCTGCCTGCAGGGGTCATGGCACTGCCGGGCCCCTTTGGCAGATATGTGGGAGGGCAAGGGAGAGCAGCGGGTGCCAACCATCAAGACTGCTCTGCCTCTGAGTGACTGAAAGCTTCGTCAGTGAGAGATGAAGGGCATCAGGCTGACATTCACAGCCCTACCTGTGGGCACCATGCCCCCTCGGGCCCTGCCTGTGGGCACCCCCCCCCCGACTTTGGGCCCTACCGTGCCAGGAGGGAGTTCTGGTTATGGTGCGAGCGTGGCTTAGGCCTTTAACAGACTCCTTCTGACCAACTTACTGTCTTCAGAATTTGCCGGTCTCATGGTTCTCTCATCACGGAAGCCAAATCTCAGAAGAGCCCTGCGTGTTCTGAGCATTTGTACCAAAAGTGAGAGTCTTTGGCTCAAGGGATTCCCCAGAGAGCTTAATCCATCAGGTACTTAATCTGAGTGTAGGCAGAAGCCACTTTGTCTTGAGGTTAGCAGCCGTAGGAAAGTAGCCTGCGTGGCTATGCTGCAAAAATGGGACTAAGGCGCTAGTTTATTTTGATGCAAAAAAAGTCAAACCCATGCATAATCTCTTCATAATACACATCTCCCATGAACTTGCAGGAGCCCCCACATACTCAAATACAGTGCTCTCTCTAACAGACCATCACGTAGAACCTTCTCCTGCCATCTGATCAGTTGGAATCCATCAACCAAAATGGGCTCTGTTTCGAGTGAACAGATTTTTGGGCTTTTTTTGAGAGATTTTCGCTATAGGGCGTGTGCGCTTGCCAGAAAGACAGAGAGAGACAGAGAGACAGAAAGCGAGAAATCACCCCCAGGGGGGATGGTCACGCCGCAATCCCTTCTCCTCCATTCTCCTCTCGGGATCTTGGGCACGCATGCACACATGCCCGGCGTGAGTTTTAAGTCACCAGGTCCGGGACGCGAACCGCGGTCGACTACGTGGGAGTCCAGCGACATAGCCATTGCGCTAACTGCTGGTTCCCTTGAGTGAACAGATTTTTCACACCCCTTCCTAACGCCCTCAATCTGACATAACCACAGTCAGGAAGGGGAAGCGTCTCACAGGGAGCCTGTACGTTACAGGTTGGGTTTCTGTGAGTTTGTCACAGTGCAGTACCGCCGGTGTCAGGCAGGTGCTCTCACGTTTCATGGCAAGGACTGTGGAGAAGGTGAGCCTGAGATCTGATCGTGGCCGACTCCAAGTGCCACCTGGCCTTGCCGCCCGCCCTCTGTGTGCCTTGCCGGTGCAGGGCCAGGTCTCAGACTATGTTTCTTCCAGGTCAGCCGACGAGACGTTCAGCTTGGCCGACGAGACCTGCAGCTCCAACCCTGCCATAGCCAGGAGGAAGAAAGTGGCCGTCAGCGTCATCTTTTCCCTGTGTGAGAAGGAAGAGGCACAGAGGGACTTCCAGGAATTCTTCTTTTCCCACTTCCCCCTGTTTGAGTCTCACATGAACAGGCTGAAGAGTGCCATCGAAAAGGTACCGGAGCGCAACCCCATTTCCACTCGACAGGCGATGGGGCTTTAAAGGGGCAGCATCTCTGCTCATGGGTCAGCTCTTGGTCCTCGGGGGTTAGCGCAGCCGTCCACAGCTGGTCCTCAGGCACTCTGAGGTTGGTGGCCAGGTGCTGGAGTGTTCATGGCCAGAGGCGTCACCCTGGGAGTCCGTAGCTGATCTTGCATTGCCGTCACCGAGAGCCCACGGGTGCACTGCAGAGGGACCTCTCCTGGGAGTAACCGACTTGCTCTCCCCGAAGGCCATGACCTCCTGCCGGAAGGTGGCAGAGTCCAGTCTGCGCGTCCAGCTCTATGTCAGCTGCCTCATGGGAGCACTGGGAGAATTCAGGTAAAGACCCACATTGGCAGGTCCTATGTGGGGGTGCGTTTGTGGGCAGCGGCCAGGGACCTCAGGGTACAGAGGGAACCGGAAGCTGGCAGCGATTAGCCTGGAGCTGCTCTGCCCTTCAGGAAGGGACTAAGGGCAAGTGGAGCAGAAAGTGTACCTCAGCACTGAGGCGTCCTTGGGGCACTGTTAAGAACGGGGTCAGTGGAGAAAGCTCATTCCTGGGTGACCCTGAGAAGACTGCTCACATCTCACGTCGTCCTGCAGAAGCCCATTTCCCAGACACAGATACTTGAGCTGGGAGCTGGTCAGAAGCTCAGGAAGGAAGCACACCAGGGGGTTGGGTGCATTTCTCAGCTTGCCGGGGCAGTCTTGGCTTACACCCAGCATCCTCTCGTACGTGCCCCTGCCAGCTTGGACTTCTGGTCAGTTCTCACTGTTCTCTACACTCTGGGAAGTGGCTCTCTATGTCCCAGTTCCCTGTGTCTAGGTAGAGAAGGAGCTGCTTTGGGGGGCAGGTGGGTCCCCTCACTGTGCCAACCTGGCCCAGGGCACTGTGTCTCAGAGCCAGTTTCTCAGCAAGGAAGGGAGTCTTACTCCAAAGAGTGATGAGCGGGGAGGTCAGATGGCCACTCCTTGGCCAAGGGGTAAAAAGCACTACAGGTCTTTGAATGCGACGCCTTTTTTTTTTTGAGTTTTGCATGCATTCACTGAAGAGAAAGAAAAGGTGAATACCCGCCCAAGGATGGCCACGCCACAATCCCTTCTCCCCTCAGGATTTCAGGCATGCCCACAAACACAACCAGTGTGTTTTTCAAGCTTCTGGGTGCCGGACCTGAACTGGGCAGTTGGCTATGTGGGATCTAGCTGCCTTCAGCACCACCACACCACGTGGCTGACGCATATAAGGCCCTTTTCATGAAAGTTAAGGGATATGCTGGTGACAGCCCATGCTCCTTTGGGATGCTGGGTTTCATAGAAGCACTCAGGTAGCCCGTCTGAGACACTGCAGAGGCGTATGTTTCAGTGGCAGTCCCATGAGCACAGGCCTGTTGAAGTCACAGGCAGAACCAGGCTGCTGTCATCCTGCTGGGGTCAGCCTGGACACTGGCTTGTGCTTGGAGGCTGGGTACCCCTTTGTTAAAAGCACCTGATTTTCAGGCGTCCAGAAACAGAAGGCCTCAGTGTGTGCACATGCAGCTTTGGGGACAGTGCAGTTCAGTCTCAGGAGGAGACCTGAGTTCTAGGACGCGAGTCCCAGGCCACTCGCTGGACTCACCCCTGCTGCTGCTCAGCAAATGCTCCACTCCTTGGCAGGGTGGAGTCCTGTTGTGTCCCGTCTCTCCCGTGCAGTCTGAACATCATGTCAGACTATACCTCACCTGTCCCCATTTGGGACAAGTGTTGTGTGTTGTTAGTGATGTGATGGCCTTTTACCCTGTGCAGGTGCCTAGCCAAGTAAGCATATGTGGGGTCTTCAAAAATGCATGGAAAATGCATGTTATGAAAAAGCTAAGCATGAATTTCCAAATTTTTGCACCAAAATAAACTCATATTTCAATTCTATTTCCCACATTTTTTTTAACTCTTCTCTTGCTCTTTGGGAAAGCCCTTGTTGAGTCAAATAGGTTACAGGAGAGACCTCTGTGGCAGGCCTGGGGGCTAGAGTCCTCATCCTGACTTTGCCATTAAATACTTGTGTGGTGGATGAGAGTGAGCCAGTCTGCAGACTCCCTGTATAACGTGGACTACAGTGCTATAAAGGAGGGCCACGTGTAGTTTGTCATCTCAAACGAACAGGGTGGAAAGCGAGAAATCACCCCCAGGGGGGATGGTCACGCCGCAATCCCTTCTCCTCCATTCTCCTCTCGGGATCTTGGGCACGCATGCACACATGCCCGGCGTGAGTTTTAAGTCACCAGGTCCGGGACGCGAACCGCGGTCGACTACGTGGGAGTCCAGCGACATAGCCATTGCGCTAACTGCTGGTTCCCTTGAGTGAACAGATTTTTCACACCCCTTCCTAACGCCCTCAATCTGACATAACCACAGTCAGGAAGGGGAAGCGTCTCACAGGGAGCCTGTACGTTACAGGTTGGGTTTCTGTGAGTTTGTCACAGTGCAGTACCGCCGGTGTCAGGCAGGTGCTCTCACGTTTCATGGCAAGGACTGTGGAGAAGGTGAGCCTGAGATCTGATCGTGGCCGACTCCAAGTGCCACCTGGCCTTGCCGCCCGCCCTCTGTGTGCCTTGCCGGTGCAGGGCCAGGTCTCAGACTATGTTTCTTCCAGGTCAGCCGACGAGACGTTCAGCTTGGCCGACGAGACCTGCAGCTCCAACCCTGCCATAGCCAGGAGGAAGAAAGTGGCCGTCAGCGTCATCTTTTCCCTGTGTGAGAAGGAAGAGGCACAGAGGGACTTCCAGGAATTCTTCTTTTCCCACTTCCCCCTGTTTGAGTCTCACATGAACAGGCTGAAGAGTGCCATCGAAAAGGTACCGGAGCGCAACCCCATTTCCACTCGACAGGCGATGGGGCTTTAAAGGGGCAGCATCTCTGCTCATGGGTCAGCTCTTGGTCCTCGGGGGTTAGCGCAGCCGTCCACAGCTGGTCCTCAGGCACTCTGAGGTTGGTGGCCAGGTGCTGGAGTGTTCATGGCCAGAGGCGTCACCCTGGGAGTCCGTAGCTGATCTTGCATTGCCGTCACCGAGAGCCCACGGGTGCACTGCAGAGGGACCTCTCCTGGGAGTAACCGACTTGCTCTCCCCGAAGGCCATGACCTCCTGCCGGAAGGTGGCAGAGTCCAGTCTGCGCGTCCAGCTCTATGTCAGCTGCCTCATGGGAGCACTGGGAGAATTCAGGTAAAGACCCACATTGGCAGGTCCTATGTGGGGGTGCGTTTGTGGGCAGCGGCCAGGGACCTCAGGGTACAGAGGGAACCGGAAGCTGGCAGCGATTAGCCTGGAGCTGCTCTGCCCTTCAGGAAGGGACTAAGGGCAAGTGGAGCAGAAAGTGTACCTCAGCACTGAGGCGTCCTTGGGGCACTGTTAAGAACGGGGTCAGTGGAGAAAGCTCATTCCTGGGTGACCCTGAGAAGACTGCTCACATCTCACGTCGTCCTGCAGAAGCCCATTTCCCAGACACAGATACTTGAGCTGGGAGCTGGTCAGAAGCTCAGGAAGGAAGCACACCAGGGGGTTGGGTGCATTTCTCAGCTTGCCGGGGCAGTCTTGGCTTACACCCAGCATCCTCTCGTACGTGCCCCTGCCAGCTTGGACTTCTGGTCAGTTCTCACTGTTCTCTACACTCTGGGAAGTGGCTCTCTATGTCCCAGTTCCCTGTGTCTAGGTAGAGAAGGAGCTGCTTTGGGGGGCAGGTGGGTCCCCTCACTGTGCCAACCTGGCCCAGGGCACTGTGTCTCAGAGCCAGTTTCTCAGCAAGGAAGGGAGTCTTACTCCAAAGAGTGATGAGCGGGGAGGTCAGATGGCCACTCCTTGGCCAAGGGGTAAAAAGCACTACAGGTCTTTGAATGCGACGCCTTTTTTTTTTTGAGTTTTGCTATAGGGTGCATGCATTCACTGAAGAGAAAGAAAAGGTGAATACCCGCCCAAGGATGGCCACGCCACAATCCCTTCTCCCCTCAGGATTTCAGGCATGCCCACAAACACAACCAGTGTGTTTTTCAAGCTTCTGGGTGCCGGACCTGAACTGGGCAGTTGGCTATGTGGGATCTAGCTGCCTTCAGCACCACCACACCACGTGGCTGACGCATATAAGGCCCTTTTCATGAAAGTTAAGGGATATGCTGGTGACAGCCCATGCTCCTTTGGGATGCTGGGTTTCATAGAAGCACTCAGGTAGCCCGTCTGAGACACTGCAGAGGCGTATGTTTCAGTGGCAGTCCCATGAGCACAGGCCTGTTGAAGTCACAGGCAGAACCAGGCTGCTGTCATCCTGCTGGGGTCAGCCTGGACACTGGCTTGTGCTTGGAGGCTGGGTACCCCTTTGTTAAAAGCACCTGATTTTCAGGCGTCCAGAAACAGAAGGCCTCAGTGTGTGCACAGGCAGCTTTGGGGACAGTGCAGTTCAGTCTCAGGAGGAGACCTGAGTTCTAGGACGCGAGTCCCAGGCCACTCGCTGGACTCACCCCTGCTGCTGCTCAGCAAATGCTCCACTCCTTGGCAGGGTGGAGTCCTGTTGTGTCCCGTCTCTCCCGTGCAGTCTGAACATCATGTCAGACTATACCTCACCTGTCCCCATTTGGGACAAGTGTTGTGTGTTGTTAGTGATGTGATGGCCTTTTACCCTGTGCAGGTGCCTAGCCAAGTAAGCATATGTGGGGTCTTCAAAAATGCATGGAAAATGCATGTTATGAAAAAGCTAAGCATGAATTTCCAAATTTTTGCACCAAAATAAACTCATATTTCAATTCTATTTCCCACATTTTTTTTAACTCTTCTCTTGCTCTTTGGGAAAGCCCTTGTTGAGTCAAATAGGTTACAGGAGAGACCTCTGTGGCAGGCCTGGGGGCTAGAGTCCTCATCCTGACTTTGCCATTAAATACTTGTGTGGTGGATGAGAGTGAGCCAGTCTGCAGACTCCCTGTATAACGTGGACTACAGTGCTATAAAGGAGGGCCACGTGTAGTTTGTCATCTCAAACGAACAGGGTGCTTTCCTTTGAGAACCGCAGCATTAACGGGACCTGGGAGACTTGAATGCCTCTGGTTCCTTTTTCAATGTAATGGATGCTTTCTTTCTCTCTTTATTTCTTCACTTAGAGAAAAACTGTTGAAAACTGTGGCACAGGCATTATGAGAAATAAATCTTTAAAGTGAGTAGCTTCAATCTGGGTTGGCCTACTTTTTCTGGAAGTAGTCTCCTTCACAGCTACTCAGCTTGCCCTTGACCTGCAGAAGCAGCAGCCAGCATAGACAAGTGAGCGTGGTGGGGTCCCTGCCGAGCTCTATCAGTACGAGCAGATGGCAGCCAGGTGTGCACAGCGCTGTTGTGTACACTGTTCAAGTCTACAGGACTGCATAGAGCCAAGTTATTCTTTCATCCTTACTTCATACCAAGACGGTCTGGTGACTTTGGCTACAGTTTGTATGTCACTTCTCTCCCCTGCAGAGGGACAATCTGGAACCTGTACTCCGTTCCCAGGATCCCAGAGCCCGTGTGGCTCACCATGATGTCCAGCACTTCAGAAAGAACCCAGGTGTGCCAGCGCTTTCTCAGGGAGTTCACACTGCTGATCGAGCAGATCAATAAAAACCAGTAAGTCAGTGCCACCCGCCACAGATGGCACGTTGAGCACAGGGCCGAGGTGTGCACGCGTGGCCATGTCCCACCTGACGGGCTGACCGGCATGCTTCCTCCTGCCTGTTTCTGTAAGGTTCTTTGCGGCCTTGCTGACCGCCGTGCTGACCTACCACCTGGCTTGGGTGCCGACCGTCATGCCTGTTGACCATCCTCCTCTCAAGGGCTTCTCAGAGAGCCGCAGCTCCCAGTCGGTGAGCATGTTGGCCAGAACCCATCCATACAATCCTCTGTGGGCACAGCTCGGTGAGTTCCTCGTCGACTGTTCACAGAACATGTGGGATGGGTAGGAATGGCACTGGGGTTAGTGGTTCCTATTGGCTCCCAGTGTGGAGACTTGGGTCACCACTGGACAGACAGGGACCAGGAGGCTGGCCCATGGGTTCCTCCCCTCCTGGCAACTATGGGCTGCTCCCTTCCTACAGTGTAGGTAAGCACACACTATTGCTGGAGGCGGTGAGGCTGCTGCAGGGTTCTGGTACAGCAAGGCCCTGTTGTATGAGCTTTTGCCATGTCTGCTGGGCAGGTCCTCTTCTGTTAACCTTTGGGGCCTGATGGTTCTGTGTGGGTTGGGCCATGAGGGCCTCCTGTGTATTAGGGGTTGCTCAGCTGCACCCTGGCCTCTGCATGCTAGAGGACAGTAGCAACAGTCCCAGGCCAGAACTGTGACGGTCACGAATGTCCATGGCCAATGTCCACAGGTTGGGGGGAGGTCCTGAGGGGATGCAAAATACCCTTGATTGAGTACCCCTTGAGGAGAGACTGGATAGGGAAAAAAATAAGAGAAAAAAAGGAAATAACACACCATAATCTCACCACAGCCTTAGCTTTAGCATAAGTCAGAAATCTGGGCTTCTCTGCACCACTTCTTGCAGTGCTGTGGTGTGCTGTCTTCAGACTTCGTGCTTGGGCCCGGGATGGGAGTCCAGAACTCTGGTGTGGCTAGTTATGGAGTTGGGGCATGACGCCAGGTTCTTGCAGAGAAGAGGTTTGCACTAGAGCCTGTCTGTCATCAGACACGGAGTGGAGTAAGACTTGCAGGCTTGCTGGGCACTAGAGCACCAGGCTGGATCACAGGCACATGCACATTCACTGTTCTCAGGGAGGGCCTGTTTTTTCCTTTTCCATTTGCTTCGCTTTTAAGCTTAAATTTTTGTTTTCATTGGTGTTAAAAAAACATTCACACACGAAAGTTTATTTTAACCACTTCTGGCTATACACTTCAGTAGTGTTTTACATATGTTCATATTACAGTGTAGCCTCTTCCTCATTTTTAACAATTATACTCATGAGAACAAAGGAATCTACTCCAAAATTAGTACCGTCAGTCTATCACTCAGGAAAATTGCCTTCAAGTCTAAGAATCCAGTACATGCTGAATATCGTGAGCCTGTTATTTGACTGGTGCACTGTTTGTTGAAGTTTGACTCCGGAGTAAGAGCACCATTTCCACACACGATGCCCTCGTTACTTTCCTCAGTTTAAATTATTATAACTGTATTTTTAATAACTGTCTTTACCCTTTTTCTACTTATTTTTTAGTTATTAAAACGTGCAATAACTTTTTTTAAAAGGTTGCCATTTGAGAGCCGGCCCCAGCGGCTTGTCACTGGGTTTCCGGAGCCTCGCAAGGCCCCTTCCTTAACCAGACGGCGGCTGCGACCCCCGGACACCGGGCGGGCGCGGCGGGGCCGGCGCGTTCCCCGAAGGCCCGGTGCGGGGTGACCGGGCTGCTGCTGCGCATTCTGGGGCGAGGGCTCACGGTGAACGCCTCGAGGCCAGGCTGTGCCGGCCTCCCTGGACGGACGCTGGCCTCCTTCCGGGGCTGCACTGCCGCGTTTTCAGAGCGTCCTCTCTCGAGCGCGCACTTCCGGGTGCTTCACCGGCGGGAAAGGGTGCTGCTCGCGGACCGGGCCGCCCTGGGCGTCTCCGGGGCAGTACCGTGCAGTTTACCGGGCGGGCACATCCGGTGCTCCTCCTGACCGGAACTTCCGGGCGCCCTTCCAGGGCCGCAACTTCCGGGTGCCTCTCCAGGGGCTACAACTTCCTGGTTCCGCTCCAGGGACCGCAACTTCCGGGTGCCTGGGGGCGGGGAGCAATTTCCGGATTCCTCTCCAGGGGCCGCAACTTCCGGGCGCCGCCCCAGGGCCTGCGTTTCCAGGTGTTTTCCGGGCGGCACATCCGGGGCGCTCCAGGCCGCAGCCCTGGGTCCCCGCTCCCCCTTCCGTGGCGCTCAAGGTCCTGGTCTCCCGAGTGGCGCCCGCACCCGGCTGGTTTCCCGGAATTCCAGGCAGCCTTGGGCTCCCCGTCCGCGCCCCCGCCGAGTGCCCGTGTCTGGTGACCGCGGGGCAAACGCGCCTGCTGCGGCGGCGGAAGTGCGGCCTCCGCCCTGGCCCCTGCCGGTCAGCCGGGCCGCCCCTTGGCAGTAGCTGCGGGCGCGGACGAGGGAACGCCCCGGGTGCCCGTCCCAGCCTGGGCCTGTGCTCAGGCCGGTCTGCCGGGCAGGGGAGCAGGGGACCTGGGCAGAGCCCTCCCTGGTGTTCCGGCCGGCCCTGCACGTCTCCAGACCCCGGGCCCTTGTCCTGGTTTCCGGGAACCGCCCGCTTTGCGGTAGCGGCCACTGGTGGTGGCCTTCCACGGGCGCCATCAGCCCTGGAAACGCCAGGCACAGGAGGGGCACGCACAGACCGCTCCAGGGGGAGGCTGGTGGCCCTGCTGGCCTTGTACTGACCTCCGGGAAGGCTAAACCATCGGAGGAGCTGGGTGTCCTTGATTCTGTGAGGGAGTGGGAGCTGGCATGTCCAGGACGTGCTGACCCAGAGGACCGTGCCTGTCCTGGCCCCTAGGTGACCTGTACGGCGCCATCGGCTCCCCAGTGAGGCTGACCCGCACCGTGGTGGTGGGCAAGCAGAAGGAGCTGGTGCAGCGTGTCCTGTACGTGCTGACCTACTTCGTGCGCTGCTCCGAGCTCCAGGAGAACCAGCTCACCTGCAGTGGGCCCTGGAGCGAGGACGGCCAGGCCCTGAACGGGAGCGAGCTTGAGACGGCCCTGGAGAAAGGCGAGGTGGAGGAGTCGGAGTACGTGGTGGTGACAGTGAGAAGCCAGCCTGCCCTTCTGCCCCCCGGCCTCCCGCTCAGCACCGCTGGCAAGAGGGGCCCAGTGCCCGCAGGGCCTGCAGGGGACTCGGACACCAGAGACCTGGATGCCAGACTTGACCAAGAAGGAAACACGGGGCCAGAACAGAGCTCGGCAGTTGGTGGCCCAGGGCCGCAGGAACCAGCCCTGGGCAGCTGTGGGAAACCTCAGAGGCTTTCCAGGGACGACATCCTGAGGGCAGGTGGGGAGGTCAACCAGCCAGCCGCCAGCCAGGTGCCGAGAGGAGAGATGTCCAGGAGAACACTGGCCCGGTCAGCTGCCTGGCTGTGCCCCAACAAACCTCCCCGAGAGGGGGCTCCTGCAGCCAAGGTCACCTTCCACATCGGCAGCTCGCTGTCCCCAGAGTCGGACTTGGAAAGCTGCTCACAGACCCTGGGGGCAGGGCTGCAGTGTCTGGGGCTGGCCCCACCCCCAACTTCAGCCCAGCAGGGGCCAGGGTGCCTGCACAGCCCTGGCCGCCACAGGAACACCTGCCGTCCGCAGAGTCGGTCTCCTGCAGGGCCCCGAGGGGAGTCTGGCAGGGGGAGTGGGACCACCACTGCTGGGCAGCCCCCCAAGACTGCGCCCTGGGCTGCACCCTCCAGTGGCGCAGCAGGAACAGGCAAGAGACCACGAGAGGAGCCTTCCCCAGACCGGCGTGCCTGGCCAGTTTCTGGCGTTGGGGTGGCCATGGGTGTCCCCTGTGGGGACGCTGTTGGGAAGGCCGACCTGAGGATCCAAGGAGACATCCCCAGGAGCGAGAGCTTGGACAGCGCTCTCGGCGGCAGTGACGATGAGGTCTGTCCCCAGGCCACAGTGGAGCCGGGCCAGTGCGGGGACAGGACTGCAGCTTCCTTGGAGGTGGAGCTGCCACTGCCATGGTGAGGCTGCAGATGGCGCGTGGGGACACAGACCCGGGTCGCAGGGGGAGCAGGGAGGGGCGCAGGCCCGGGCCGCAGGGGGAGCGGGGAGGGGCAGAGACCCGGGGTCACTCTAGCTGCTGGGGAGCACAGTCCCGTTGCCGCAGGAGGAGCGGGGAGGGGCGCAGTCCCGTTGTCGCAGGGGGAGTGGGGAGGAGCATAGCCATGTCGCCGCAGGAGGACTGGAGCACACGGTCAGGGCTGCTGCTGGCTTTTGCACCCACACCGTGCCCTCTTCCTTGAGTGCTCCAAGTGTTAGCAGAGCCGGGCCCAGCCCGCCCTGACCTGCCAGTGGGAGGAGGCTGGCTCCAGTCTGCGGCTTTGTGGCCTGCAGGAAGCGGGGTCCAGGGGCAGTGTGGTGGGAGCAGGGCCTCACCTGTCGTCTGCTCCAGCAGCTGTGCCCATAGCGGGGGCCCACGCCCAGGGCAACACAGGGTGCTGGGACTCCACTGGACGAGCGACTGGTCTGTGGTGATGCGGCGGCCATTAGGGCCTCTTGGGCCCCTCCTCACTGCCGTGGGCCCTGCCCTGGCGCAGGTGGAGCCCCTCAGCCTCACAGGCTCTGCAGTGACAGGCACCTGGCTGGTGTGGTGCAGGTGGGGCAGAGACAGACGCGTGGCCAGGCACAGGAGCATTGTCCTCACCCTCCCTGGCATAACCCCTCATGCTTTCCGCCTCTCCTCCCCGATCAACCCTCCCCGTGTCCTGTGCGGAGGAGAGGCTGGTGTGGAGCATGCCTTGCGCCTGTCGTTGCTGTCCCGTGGCGTGGTGTGTCCCCATGGGAACCAAAGCAGCAGTTGTGTGCACAGTGCTCCTGATTGGTGCTGTCACTGCAGGGCTCGGAGTTTCAGCAGCCAGAGCGTCCGGAACTTCGGCCGCTCATTGCTGGCAGGGTACTGCCCCACATACCTGCCCGACCTGGTGCTGCACGGGACCAGCAGCGATGATCGGCTGCGGCAGTGCCTGCCAGCTGACCTGGCTCACGCCGTGCAGGTAGGTGGGGTGCGCTCGGCCCAGACTGTGACCAGCA